CTCCTCTGGTTTTACTTTACCGGTGACAAAGACCAAACTGATCGCCGGGATTTCTCCTCTTCTTCTGCTCAGATCCGGTGACTGCCATGGCCAAATCTCGGGCGGTTTTGGAGCTCACTGCCCGTTTCGATCTCGGCGGCGATGATAAGATCCGAGCCGTATCTCTCTCCCCGGACTCCGCTTTCCAAACCCTAGTATACGTCGGAACCTCCTCCGGATCCCTTATTCTCCTCTCTATCGACATTTCGACTAATATAGTCTCGCGTCTCGGAAGTGTATCGCTGAGCGCTTCTCCCGTTGAGTCCGTCTTTGTGCTTGGCCACGAAAGAGGGAAAGTTCTAGCTCTCTGCAATGGCTACTTGTTCTTGGTGGATTCGCTTCTTTCTCTACCCGCCAAGAGATTGGGTGGTTTATTGAAAGGGATCAATGTGGTTGCTAGGAGAGTGAGAGGACGCGGCTCCTCGAGTACTGATTTGTTCCCATCAGAGGTTTCTGCTGATTCTAGCTCCAGCAACAAGTTCCTTCAGATGCTTGGTGCTGGAAATCGGGCCAGTGACATCAAAGGTGAGGATTCTCGAGTCCTCCAAGGTCGTTTTGTTTTTGCTGTTGCCATTAGTGAGAGAATGTTGCTGATCCAACTTCACTGTGACGGCACCTTTCTTGTCTTGAAAGAGATTCTGGGAATCCCGATAATGGCTTTCAAGTACATCTCGTTGATGAAGCGGTCACGAATAATATTCTGTGCACTCTTTCATTGTGATGTTTCAGCTTATTTTTTATCGGAGAGTGCCTTATGAAGAACAGATTAAAGACCTCTTGAGGAAAAAGAGAAGCCATCTCCCTGGTGGAGGAGCTTGACTCACAGGGGGGAATTTCAAAAGAAATGCTTTCCTTTCTTCATGCTCAAATTGGGTATCTACTGCTTTTTGATCTGCGGTTTGAGCAAGCAGTGAATCAGTTTTTAAAGTCAGAAAAAATGGAACCTTCCGAAGTTTTTCCATTTATCATGCGGGATCCTAATCGCTGGTCTTTGATGGTACATTTTTCTTTCCTAGCAGCTGGTATTCTATCATTTACTCTAAGTTGTTTCCAGTTGGCTGCTTAATCAATCACTAAAGGCATTGTCTAACTTGCGGGGAACCTTTCCCCTGAAATATGACGTTTCAAGCTTTGTCCAATAACTGTCTGCTTCACTAAGAGTCTTACCGGCTTTCAGGTTCCAAGAAACAGATACTGGGGACTGCATCCTCCCCCTGCTCCTTTCGAAGATGTTGTAGATAATGGGTTGATGGGGATCCAGAGAGCCATTTTTCTTAGAAAGGCGGGAATGGACACTCCGGTTGATGAAGAGTTTTTAGAAAATGCCCCCCCCCCCCCCTAGTAGAGCTGATTTATTGGAGTCGGCAATTAAAAACATCACCAGGTGATACAACTGCTTTTTTATGTATTTTGTTTCCTTCTACAGCTTTTAAGTATATCCCTGTTCACTGAGGTGTGAATTGGCAAATAACAAGGTAATGTTACCATTGTGAAAGGTACCTCGAGGCATCACGTGAGAAGGACTTGAGTCACCCAGTCAGGGAGGGAATAGACACGCTTCTAATGCTTCTGTACAGAGCATTAAAACGTGTTGATGATATGGGGAATCTTGCATCTTCTGATAAAAACTGTGTCATGGTATGTGTTTTTAGTGAATTATACACATGTACATATTTACATAGCATCAACTCGATAGGTGGCACCACAGACTAACAACTGAAAGATGTAAGAAACCTGGAATATGGTTCTGGTAAATCTAGTTTTCTTTTTTACAGAACTATATGAGTAAGACAGCTATTGGTTGGTTATAAAGATGAAGAAATCAAGTTTTCAGTGTCTAGTAGATTAGACGCTTTTATTTATGCATTGTACTTGTACCAGTTTTGCAGTTATCAAACTAGTGTGGTTAAAAGCAATGGATCAATGTTTATAGTTTTGACTTCCCTGAGCAAAGTCTCCAAAGTTACTCTGAAACGCTGTTAACTGGAAAATATTAACTGTAGTACTCTAGGATTCCTGTAAATGTACCATGGGGAAATTATAATTTTTTTGGATGCTTAGAATTACAATGCATTGAAAAACAGAGAACTTGTTGTCACAAGGCTGCTTAAGGGACGACTTTACAACTTGCGTGGGCGGTGCAGGAGGAGTTGGAGACTCTTTTAAATGAATCTGGACACTTACGGACACTTGCATTCCTCTATGCGAGTAAGGGGATGAGTGCAAAGGCTCTTGCTATTTGGTGTCTCTTTACGAAGAATTATTCATCTGATCTATGGCAACACTCCCCTAATTACACGATAACGAGCTCATTAGGTTATTCTGGTAAAGAGGCCGCTGCTGCAAAAGCAGCCAGAATTCTTGAGGAACCCTGTGATCCAGAACTGATGATTGTGACTTTACTTATATTAAAGAAGTCCCAATGCTGCTTTAGATTCAGGGTAACATAATTTGGTTTGTGCATATATTTGTCATATCTCTAGTGTGCTGTACATTATTATTGTCAAGATTAGGATTAGAATAGGCATCTGTGTTCTATCATTGTTGTAAAAATCTTACAGTATTCAGTTCTTTTTAATTGGCTTTGGCTTATTGAGTGGCTTGGCATATGACAATTGATGGATAAAATACTAACATTGATGTGAGGGTCTGTGTTTCTTTATCTTATTGCAGAACAAGTGATCCAAGCGATTGATCCCGAAAAGGTTGAAATCATCATTCAAATACACATCATATATAAATTTCATCCAGTTGAGTTTTAGTAAAAGCTTCATAGTAAGTAGAAAGAGGAAAGTCCACTAGAGTCTTCTGTAGCGTAGTTGGGAAAGTTGTAGTCTGGTCGAGTGACGAGCGGTCATCATGAGAGATGAGGAAACAAAGGTTCAGTATCAGAGCGCACAGGTCCATGATACTCGTGTCGAGACCGTGAAGTAGAAGCCATTTCAATGTTCAAAGATCGACTGTGTCTGTAAAGTTGTGTAACT